TCCCTGCACAAATTACACTCAGGCACTGCTCCTCTCCCCGGACCCAGAGCACTCAGGGTCACCCTGTGTGCAGAACCACAGCTGCTCTCAGGGGCCCTGAGCACCTCATCTCTGAGGAGCAGAGCACCCTGTGACTTGACTATTTAACATGTGCCACACTTCACCACACCACTGTTCTGTACAGAGAGCTCAAGTTGGACACCCAAAAGCACTTAATGCCCTGCTGAGGGAGGTGGTCTCGCTTCCAGAAATAAAACTGGGGAGAAGGTACATGATAAGCTTTTATGGTGCTTCCACAGCCCAGTGCTTGACACCTGGCCCCAACCCATCATCTGGATTTGGAAAACAGGAAGGTCTTTGTAAGCTGATGGGTTTCACCAAGTGGTGCTTTTGCCTGGTGAGCAACCACATATCATTCACTGGAAAGGGAGGTGCCTGCACACCTTTCTTCCTCCATCATCTCACAACTCGTAAGAATCCCTTTATTGTTATTTTGCAGTACAGAGGTGTTCTTTTTCCAAATGCACTTTCACATCCAAGACATCTCACCTCTACGACGAGCTGCAGATCGTCCATGTACCTTTCTTCCGTCTGAATGAGCTCGTGAATGTAGCCCTGCCTTTTCCTTTCCATGGGCTGCATGGTGTCAAGGCTCTGGAGATCAGCACACCCTGCAGGAAGTAAGTCAGGAGTTCAGATCCCACTAAAGGCATTAAATCTGATGAATTAACAAAACTGCACAAGCATTCAGCAGTCTATGGCTCAGACTATACAGGCACTGGTAAACTCTCTCTGCAGCAGCAGCAGGTTTCAAAATCAAGTGATGTAGCAATTGACCCCCTCCCTTTGTGTCACTTTTCAGTCTATCACCTTCTTACTTCTTTGAACACCCCTTGTACTGTGAGGCAGAATAAGAGCTCCTGACTTGTCACTCCATTTGTCTCCTCATGACTTTTCTCATCTCTTCTGCCACACCAATTTAAAACTGTGATTTTCTCTTACCTTGAGCAATGCCTTTTTGGACTTTATGATCTTAAAGGTCTTTTCCAGCCTTAATGATTCTATAATTCTAAGTTGTCTTTTGTGAGATGAAGTCATAGAAAATGTGGCTAGTCCTGACTTAGGACATTGCACCTTTAATCCCCACCCTATTTCTGAAGTTCTCTGCCTTAGTTATTGATTTATGATACAAACCACCACTACAAATTTGTAAAGCTGTAACACAACACTGTAGTTGTATAACTCACAGCTGCACAACTTTTATTTTTCTCAAAATGAGCTGGAAATATATTGAATTATTTTCATGCATCAAGGATGAAGAATCAAAATCATGCACAGGAACACACTGACAGTCAATGACACAAACCCCAAGTTTCTGTCACAACATGCAAACCCTGCAGCTTCACACGACTCTATCTCTACTGGATGTTAGTAACCAAGACAGCAGTGTCCAAACTTTAGTAACCAAACCAAACTGGTAAAGCCAGAGTGGTGAATGAGTTTAGCTGGATAAAGGAGAGCACAGAAAGTCAATCTGATCCCTCTGTCAGTCATCACACAGCAGAATATTGCAAAGCAGCAGGGTGGGGGAAAAGGAAAAAAGAAGGAACAATTACAGAGTGTTTGAGAACATCCATCTATCACTGGATGTGATGGCATCAGACTGCAATACCAGGTGAGCTGTGGGTTTTGCAGGACAGCAGAAAGGACATCACAGGGACTCACTTTGATCCAGCAGTTCTAGAGGAACAATACTTCATGAAGGTTCACAGGAGTTGTGAAAGGCAGAATGACCTACAGCAGGAAGGGCTGTGTCTCCCTTGTCACCCTGACACTCCTGGCACACAAGGATGAGAGTATTCACTGCCAAGGTACAGATCTGCTCATTGGAAGGCGAGTTAGTAATAAATTTGAGGGAAAAAAACCCAAGAAACACTGAACATTAGGCTGGACTTGATGTGACAGTGGCCTATTGGGAACCTCACAGGCTCCTGAGCTTCCAGCTACACCAGCATCAAGGTGCTCTGAAAGAGCAACTGTCAGCAGAAGAGAAACTCTTGCCAAGTGAAATTTTAGGACACCATAACAAGGAAACCCTTTGAACAACACAAAGAAGTAAAACAGCAGCAAAGACAAAACTAGACTGAAAATCAGGACTTTTCAGTTCTGTTTTGCACCCTAAGGAGGATCACAGATCTTAAACTTTCTGACAAGGTTTGAAAAAACACCACTTTTTAAGAAGAGATGAGGGATTACAGCTCTTTTGATCACACAGAATACTCCTTCTGGCCTTAGTTATCCCCAAAGCTACAACCAGGCCAAAATTAGATGAGAAAAAGGAATGAAGTTACAGATAAAAGTGATTCCTGCAAAGTTTGATGTCTCAGTCCATTGAGAGACAGTCTGTGGCCAATGTGCTACTTCTGGATTCTTGTGTCACTCTTCAGTATGTACAGGACTGAGTTTAAGCCTGGGTACTAAAACATGGAATTTCAGGACAATCCAAGGGCTTGCACGGCAACCAGGTATTAATTGTCCAGATTTGGAAGTCTCAGCTTTGGCCAGTGGCTCCCTTTCCTACTGCAAGGTGCACTCCTGTGACAGAAGCAGGGATAGACTGAAGCTCCTGTTGGCTTGTCCCAGCTGCTGGAACAACCCACATGCTGGGATTTGGGTCTGTCTCATGCTGACCACTGAAAGTTGGGGCCAAGCCTGGGAGAGAAATGGGCCTTTTTATGCATTAAAATAGATTTGGTTTATAAATTTATTATCAGATGCAAAAATTCAGTCTCATTAACTGGCTCCTGTGCTAACCTTGTGTTTGGACTGCCAGCTTCTGGTATGAAGGGACAAATGCTACTTTGTATTTAGTATTTTATATAATTTTATTTTTATAATTTTATTTAAACACTAGTATTTAGTAGTGAAAACACTCCTAATTTTGATAGCTCTGATGATACTGGCATAAAAACACATTATGCAATCGCCACATTTTATTTTAGAGAGTGAATTCAGGCATTTGAGTCTGAAGAGAAAAACAAAAAATAGAAAAGAGAATAAACCAGCCTAACGAGTGCATTTGCCAATGTTTTCCCTAAGTGGCCACAGCAACCCATGGGCTCACTGATGCTGAAAGGGTGCAGCTACACTCTACCCTTCCTTTCCTTGCATCAGTTCTGGCACTTATCTGCCTCTTTGCTCACATGCTGGCAGCAAACAAATCCCAAGGGGGGAAAAAGAAAACAGCAGTTTTCTGCTGGTTTAACAGCCAGGAGTGTGCATGGAAGCAGTAAAACTGCCTTGTTTGGCAGCAGAAAGCTCTTGGCTTGGCTTCCCTCTGGTGAAGCTTCATCCCAAGCTCCCCAGGCAGCCCAGGAAGAGCAGTGGGATTTCTGGGAGTGTCTGCAGCATGGAATTGCGGTTCCTCTCCTGCTCTGCTGACCAAGAGGGATACCTGCTCTCTGGTGGGGAAGCCAGCCTGCCTCTCCCACCAAGAGCAGGCAGTGCCAGGCTTTCAGCCAGCCTGGGGCACAGCCTGCCCAGCTCCCTCTCCAGAACACTCACCACAGGAGCAGGGGGTGTCTGGAACCTTGGAAACTCAGGGCACAGCAACAGAGAGAAGCCTACACTGACTGTGGTGCCCTCTGGGCCAAATCCTCCTCTCTGAGCTGAGGAAGCAGCTGCCAGGGTGAAACAACCTGGAGAGTTTATAAACAGGACATCCCAGTCTCTGAAGTTGTATTTAAAATTATACTTTCCAAATATACCTGAACAAGGAGCATTTTTGCCTACTAACATAACTACCCCTGTATGAAAAACTACTGAGTTTCACAGTGAAAAGATGTTCTCTTCTGCAGGAGATTCAAAGCCCTGAAAAACACAGGGGGCTGGGGGAGAAAACTTTCCCAATTACTGACTTCTTGGGTATGAGCCCATTCAGGGGGAAGAGAGACAGTTTCTGAAGAAAGGAAATCCTCCAGTGAAAGACAGATGAATAATATCTACCACTATTTTCCCAACAGACTCCCCCACTCAATGGACAGGGGAAAAAAAGCCATTAAAAGTGACATCTCAACCCTCCAAGAGGAGCTCAGGCTCTCATCTGGAAGGGTGTAGCTACACCAGAGGCACTAACTGCCTTGGGTGACCAGTGAAGACTATTTAGAGATAGAGGTTTAGATTGGTATTAGGAAAAATTTCTTCATGGAAGGGGTTATAAAGCTGCCCAGGGTAGTGGTGGAGCCACCATCCCTGGAAGTATTAAAAACCATATTGATATGGCACTTTAGGATGTAATTTATTGGTGCTGTGTTAGTGATTGGATTTGATGATTTTAAAGGTCTTTTCTAACCTTAATGATTCTATGATTCTATACAAACTGCTATTTAAAAGGAAATATCTTGGTTTGTTTAGGGTTGGATTATTTTTGGAAGGGGTTGTTTATTTGTTTTGATTGTTTGTTTGACTCTGAAGCCAGCTGACATGGCTGGGAAGAACAGGTAAAGGTTGGGGGTCTTTTTCCTGCCTCTGTTTTCCCAGCCTGCCATAGAAAGGCCACGAGTCCCCTTAAGGACCATGGGCTGGCATTAACACAGTCCCTTCAGTACAGCCAGAGAGAACTGATGGCATCAGGGGACACCAGCACAGCCAGGTGCAAGCTCTGCAGCCACACACAAGGCCAACACACTCCTGTCACTCCTGGAGCCGCCAGCAGCCTCTGAAACCTACAAAAGGAACAAATACAAGAAATCTGCTACTGTGGAAAAGGCAGTTTCCATCAGGCCCTGGGAGAAATAATAAAAACTTTTAGCCAATCTCCCCTACTCAGTAAACGTGGGATACTGTACTACAACAGAGGAAATTTATGAATCAATTTTCAAGAGGTAAAAAGCAAAATCAAGTCACTCCATCACAGTTGACACAATGCTCATTCCAAGCTATTCAGCTGGGAAAAAAATCCTCCCCAGACGGACAAAAAAAACCACAACAGACAAACTAGATCCTTTTATGTGTCCCTTTAATAAAATACATTTGCATAGTTATCTTACAACTTTGTTCAAATCCAAGGTGAACAATTGCCTCATGCTAAGCACAGCCTGCATTTGCATGTCTCAACAACCATCCCACACGTGACACTCAAGCTTGGGAAGGACAAGGAGGGGTTTAAGGCAGCACACACCAGAATGCAGCAGTTTCATGGGTTCATTACACTGAAGTAGCACGACCCTGCAGCAGGCCAAGGAGTGTTGGCATTCCTACCAGCAGACTTATTTACAGGTGTTTCCAACCCTGCCCAGGAGAATCACACAGGGATACAATCTGACAAAGCTCTGACATGGCAGAAATGTTCAGTGACCAGAGGGAGACGTTTCAGTTGTTAGCGTGTACCTCTCCGATGGAGCGTTGTGCCTTCTGCTCCTGACTGCACCATTAACCACGTGGAGACAGAGCTCTGGGTGCTCACCACCACGGGCTCCTCACACACCCAGCCCTGCCTCTGGTCCCAGTGGTGGCACAAGGCCTCCCTGCGTGGGTCCAGCTCTGGATCAGGAACTAAGCTTGTGTCAAACCCGGCTTCTGTAGTTTGTTACTCCATTATGCAAACCAGACAGTTACAGAAGTAGCGTTTTGGTACCCGTTCTTGTGCATTCAGCACTGTTTGGTTCTCACCCCCTGTGACACCAGGGCCCCTATTCTCTGCTGGCCCACAGGAAAACATTTAGCAAGTACCACACTGCAGGCAACAGCAAACAGCGCATTTTGCTTTCCATGTTGGCTTCAGTTTTACTTTTTCACCTTGTGTAGCTCTCAGCAACATTTAGGCTCTCAGCTCTTGCCTGGGAACCATGAGTTCAACAAAGGACTCTGTTTTCCACCTTGCCCTTAGCTGCACAGCCAACCTTCTTCACCCAGATGGGGTGATTTTACTTGACTGGCTGGGATGACCAGCTGAACTCAACTCTATGGTCTTTTATCAACAAGGGGTGGACTGCACACAACCAGAGAAAAAGTAGCATTTTTAAAAGTAAAGTCTGATTTAAATGCAACTTCCAATAGCTTCATTGATACAGAATATTATTTTAAAGTAATCTTGCTGTAAATACATCCTTGGCATGGTCTTTCCTTTGGATGATCTAATCTGTGTATCCAACTCTTTCTGCACCACTGTGCAGGAGAGCAGAGCTCTCAGGCAATTGTGCTGGAGCTGTGCTAGGCAGACTTCTGCAATACAGATGAATACTGAAGGCAGGGACTATGTCCCTCTCAATCAGCATTATTAAGGTGTATTTTTATTATTATTATATTTATTATTACACTTAAGAGAATTTAGAGTGTACTCAGGTAATAGTGAAACATGAAAAGATAGCTGTGAAAGCACAAAATGCTTCACTTCAATACTTTTCAGTTCAGACTTCGAGGCAGAGGTTTCAATAATTATCAGTGCTCATACCTACACAACAACACAGGGCTACCTGTGTGAAACTTTGCCAACAGTACTGTAATCTCCAAAGGTATCAGTTAAAAAAATTTTAAAAATTAGTAGAATGCCACGTTGTTTTGGAAAATTCCTCAAATACCTCAGTGAGGATGGGAAGTTGTTTTGAACATTTCAAAGACAATTAGTAGTAATCTGGCATTCAAGGAAAACTGACTGAACATTGATTGTCAGTGCGGCTCAAATGCCTTTTTGCCCTTTAGAAATTACATAATTTAGAAGATCACCTAATTCTCAGACTCCAGTATGTGACTGCTCGATGCCACTGGTGTAGCACAACACATTTCAGCCTGTATTAAACAGGCTTTCCAAGACAGAAATTCAGAGAAGGCAATTCTGGGTGAGTAGTGTATTTTAGTAGAAACACAACGTGGTTTCAGAAGGAAATCAAGTAATCTGAAATACTCAAAGGATTATCTAGCACATCATTTGCCTACAACAACATGATTTCATTCTATAACAAAATACTGATTCAGACAAAATACATCCAGAATAAAAATCCATTTGTAGTTTTCTGTAGGCACATTGCGTAGTCCGTATTGCACAGAAGATACATCTCTGAACTAAAGGGCACACATACATTATTTGATCAAGGATATAAATACATAACATTGGATTTTGGAGAAAGGCTTTTAAATCTCTGCAATTGGATTAACCTTTTCCTGATAGTACCTTCACAACATTCATCTGTATATATATATATGTCTATATAGTAAACAAGCAGTTTGTTTTGTAAACATTTCTGATTGCATAAGTGACCTTTGCTGTTTCATAACCAAGTTCAGGAAACCAACTAAATTAAATACTGTGTCTAGAGATCTCTCTTGTTGTTACAAGAGCACAGAACTATTTAATCAGAGAAGTAGTCTAGAATTAAATTAATCCTTTTATTTAAAGGGGAATCAAGGTTACAAGTTCCTCCTTCCCTCCAAACATAGTAAGACAAGGGCAGCTCACACTGCACTGCATTTCCAACAGGCCAGGACTGTGGGCTGAGGAGCACAGTTCCATCCTGAGCCCCAGAGCTCTGCCCTCACTCCAGGTTCTCTGAGTGTCTCTCTCCTGGCAGCACCTCTCCACTAGTTACCTCTGCCTTAGGCTGCTGCTCTGTTTACCAGGAGGAAGAGAGCAGCTTTCAGCAGTACTTTAAATGTACTGCAGACCCCAGCCAGAGACAAACAATTCAGTACCATGAACTATTAATGAAAAGAAGGGGCAGGGGAAGGGCCTGGTCACACAGAGGCTGTGCAAGGACTTACTGCAGCAACTGAGCACATTTGCCAAAACTGAAAGCAAATATGAATGATCAGAATTTAAGGAAGGAGGCTGTTTAGGGATAGAAAGTATTGAGCCAAAACAACCTGAATTCCTGCCGCAGTACTACTGTGAAGGAAGAAAAACCATTAAAATATCCTTCACTCTACACCTAATAGTTCTTTTCCCTGTTAAACAGGGTGTGAAAAGGCTGGATGGAGTGCACCAGATCTAACCCTTAGATCCTGTAGCATGTTTGTAATCACAGTGACTATCAGCAGCAGACAGGTAGGGTTTGTTTCTGGATGAGATTAACTCAAGTCCATTAGAACAATAATCAATGAACATTTTAATTCTGCAAAATATGTACATTACAACATTAAAAGAACACAAGTGCCCATTCCAAACAGATAAACTGTGCAAATAGTGGGTCTTTGTGTGTCTGCAATCCCACCATGCAAACAATACTCGATATGCATGCTAATGACTACGGTTATCAATCCCAAAGGAAATACTAAAGGAAACAAGAATGAACAGCAGTGAAAGCCACACAAAGACCCACTATCCTTTCTGCTTTTACAAATCCACTGAAACTGTAGATTAGAAGAAAACCCACGAAAACCTAATTTCTTGGTTGGATCTAACGTTCAAACGAAGCAAAAGGATTGTGTCAGACACGTGAGCAGGGCTGGCCACCCTGCCTCCACGCTAGTCAAACTTGGATAGTGGGTCTCTGAGGTGCTTTCACACTGGAAGACAACATTGGCTCCTAAAAAAAAAAAACAAAAAAAAAAAATGAAGGATAAAATGAACATAAATTTGAAGAGTGAAACATATGAATTCTACGGACAAAGACAGAACAACACCAAAAAGGTCAGAAAGGAATGATGAACATTCAACTTTCTGAAAACAGACATCACAAGCTTCTACCTTTGCAGTTTCATATTTATAAACACACAAATTTAAGTACTTGTGCCCAGCCATTGCTGACTCTGAAAAGCCCCACAGCTCATTCATGTGAAGAAAAGGTTTCTTCCTAAGGAAAACTTCTGCCATGTAGACTCAACACAAGGTCAAGCCCTAAGGGTATTTTTAAAGGCAGTGGCAAAATTCCCCACGATTTTAACAACAAAACCAGAATCTCTCTTGAGAAACTTCTACTGGGACATTAGAAAATCAGATAAAAAGAGAACTTGTAAAGAAAAATCTCACTGGAATTTATTCTTATCAGCACATAAAAATTAACCTGTTCAATTCTGTTTGAGCCTGAAAGAAATTAAAACCTTGCCTCTAGTCTTATGTGTCCATGGAACAGGAGGTAGCACATCCCTCAGAATCCAAGGGCTACATGGTCTGAAGAGGGACAGACCTTGTGTGCAATCCAGAGAGGATTCCAGACCCCAGGATTACAACCTGGAAGTGTTATCAAGCCTGACTGACATTCACCAAATAGTTTTAGAAATATAAAGTCACTGTGAAGTAAGGGATTGATTTCGTATTTGATCTTTGGTAAAAGAGGTAAAATTCTGGAGCTGTTGAGTAAAATCAGAATAAATTATTAATCCTCAATTGTTAAAATATCAGTGTGGAACTGCAAGAGGCAACAGCTCAAAGCCACTGCCACCATGAACTGTTACTCCACAAAGAGAAGTTACTTGGCAAGAACTAGAGAACTTCCAAATGTGCTGTCCATACAGACACAGAAATGCACCAGCCACGAGCACGTCAGTTCAGAAGTTGTTTTTTCACTATGAACACCCCTGAAAGTGAGTCAGCTTCATCCACCTGACAGTGTGGACAGGAATTACTGAAGATCTTCTGTGCATGGAAATCAACTTCTGGAAATACAGATCCTTGTTGCAGGACTTGCCTCGTGTCTCCAACATGTCACATTTACAAGTAAGGTTTGGGGAAGACAAGAATGAGGTAGCTCTAGAGATATTACTACAAACAACAACCTGGAGCTCAGGCTGAGCACCTGAAGGAGTAACTCTGATGTGTGAGGAACTGCAGCAGTGCTGGGCTATGGAAAGCAGAAAGAGTAAACAGGAAACAGTCATCACACATAGATTAGAGTAGAAAGAACTGGCACAACATTCAGCTCTGAGAGTCTCATGGGATGAGACACCTCAGGATGAACCAGAAGCCCCTCTGCACATGGAGCACAGCTGTGTCCACCTGGCTGAGCTGCCCAGTCCTGAGCAAGAACATCTCTGAGGGATGAGCTGATCTCTAACACTAGAAGACATCTAGCAACCAAGTATGCAGACACAGCTGGAGCAGCTCTCTTCCCTCTTTACACTTCTCTCCTGCCTACCCCACTTAAACATCCCTTGGAAAGAATGACAACTTGTTAGAGGTGTCCTTGTCAGATCCTGGTAACACAGGAAAGATCTGACCCTTGACATTTAATGGTTGAGATTTACCTGAGTGGAGAAAATCTCAACTAAAGAAAACAGAAGGACACAGCTCACACTGGTTCCATGGATAAGATGACAAACTTAAGAAGGTATCTAATTGAAAAAGCCAACAAATAACAAGAGAACAAGTTTCCGAGTGCAAAGCAGATGAAGACCAGGCCACTGGGAAGAACTCCGAAGTGGTAAGAGCACCATGCCTGCCCCCCTTACACACACCTTGGAAAGGATGGCAAGAGAACCTGGCACTGGACAGGTACTGGCAACACACAAGATCTGACCCTGCACGGCTGTACAAACACTCAAAGATTTATTTTAAATCTATTTTGAAACCTGCTGAGTATATTTATTATTTATTATGGCTTTTGTGCAAAAATTAGAAAAAAGGCTATTAAAAATGTCATTAAAACAGGAGCAAGTCTAACCACCACCACAGTCACCAGGAACACGACTCTACTGTCCTGTGTTCTGCAATCACCACGTGTTTAAGGGGCAAACAAACCTACAACACCCTGAAGTCATTTTGTTTTTCTTTCCTTGCAGGGGTCCTATGCCAGGATGTGCAGCTACACCAAGAGGAAAAGTGATTTTGTTCTGTTCACAGAGCTATGTCAGCAACTTAAGACAAGGGACATCTCACTGACTCCAGTTCCTTCTCTGCTAGGGAGGTTTGCCATTACAGCTACAACTAACAGCTCCCAGAAAAGACTCCAGGTCTTTAAATCTGGGGTAAAACCAGAATTTTCCCAAGCCACAAACCTATCTGAGTAAACCAAATTTGCCTGCTCCCTTTCCAATACCATCGTACTTGTTCTAGAAAAAACAGCGTGAAAAATTGCTGTTATTCAACAGAGACATTATAATACTCAGACCAACAATTCTTTGAAGTGCAACAATGTATTTTTAAAAATATATTCTCTCACATCTCAAAGCTGTTCTGTAGAAGGCCACATCAACATTTCGATGGGACAGTTCCTTAGTGATTTCACAAGAATACTCATGATAGTTTCTCTACTCTGTTTAAACAAGACCCAGAAATATTGTAAGGAAACACAAGGAAGTTTGGAAGTTCATTCAGGACACATTTAAACATTGCTCTGGTTACAGAGGAGGCACAGAGCAGTGGCTTACTGCTCACAGAGCTGACCAGCAGCAGCCCAGCTGAAATCTGGGATATGGTATTTGAACAGTGCTGTGTTGGGTTTGTGCAGGCTCTGGGCTTGAGGCAGGATTTTTCCTTAAGTTTCCAAATGCCTGTATCACAACAGAGTGGCAAATCCCAGCACAAAACTAGTGTGGAACTCAGCTTATTTGAAATCCAGAGAGAATTTTAAGAAAGGAGTATAAATTCCACATACTCTTTGTTCACCAGTAGGTGGATTTTGTAGAACTGCTTCACAGAGTAGTGCTTAGAGGGAAGTTTAATGGCCAGGTACAGATGACCGGTGCACGTCTGCACATCATTAACCTTTGTCAAAATCCACTTTGATGTGGATGGAAATACTCTTATTTCACATCACTGAAATCTGAGGGAAAACTTAATGATGTATCAGCAAACAATGAGAAAAACTTGCTCATTGTCCAGAAAGTTTTCATTTACAGTGTGGTCTTAGCATGGCTTTTGCTGAAAATCAGTGGTTTATGCAATGACCTTGCATTTGTCACATTCAACAACCTAACTTGAAATAACAACACACATGGTGTGACAAGCTGTTACCTCTATATAATTTTTTTAAATTCCTAAGTTTTAATACTAAGCCAGAAACTTAATTTTATAGCCCACCTGCTACATTCTATACTGTTTCTTCAAAAGTGAGATTTGCAAACAAATTAAAGCTTGCAAAGGACCATTTTAATGATTTAGCCATGTCTAATCAAAAAATGTCAAGTTCAATCTAAATCCAGAAGTTTCTAACATCTCAACCACATTGGCCAGAGGCATTAAAAAAAAAAAAAAAGCCAAACAATGTATTACCAAAAATATGAGCTCATATTTAGCTAAATAGCTCAGAATTTAGCTAAAGAGAAAACCTCAAGAATGGTGCACAGTCTCTTTTGCCCAGGAACCATAACAATTTACCCAGGGAAAATATTTTAACTTTCCAACCCAAGCTGTACCTTCATTAGGAGTTTGTGAATTTTTCTCTAAGAACACAACCATGTGATTAATGAAGTGCAGACTGATCCTACAGTAGCTATAGGCTAACAAGAGTGAGGCTCAGCCAGATTTACAGATGGGTGTTTTTATCCCAAGAGACTCCAAACATTGTCTAGAGGAGAACAGCAAGTGAAGGGACAAGGCCTGTCATGTCAAAGGAGCAACTCTGGCATCATGGTGTGTTCCCAAACCCAGTGGGCTGATGTAAAAGTTGGCTTAATCACAGGATGAAACACTGAGAGAGTAAAAACTGCTAAATTTCTCTGGGAGGAGAATTTTCTCTGGGGACAGGAGCCAAAAAACAGTGTGTGTGTAGGGGACACCAGAAACCTTTACTGTGTTTATGTGCTAAAAAGGCAGAGAAGATGTTGACTGTCAGGTGTACAGTTTAAGATCCAGTTCTCAGCCTATGTCCTGACATACATCTTGTTTCTCAGGACTGGATGACAGCTGGAATGCTGGGAGCCAGGACAAGCATATTTAGGACTGGCCAGACCACGTGCTAATGCCTATCCTTTTCCTATCCTTTTAATGGGTATTTTTACTTACCTGACACATGTGTTAAAATTACTACAGCACTTTTCCTTATTTTACAAAACTTGAGTAAGTTCTGTAATTGCAGTGTGCCTGCACTGCTTCCCAGTCCATGCTAATTATCAGAATCTTGTTGGAAGGAGAACTCCTACCCAACCCAGTATTTTTAGCTCATCCTACAGCACTCTTGCTATCCCTACACTGGCTGGTTGGCAATGTTCTGGTTGTTTGTAGGTTAACTAGAAGAGGGTTTAAAGTACCTTGTACTATAATAAAGTATTTAAAGAAAGAGTACTTGAAGTACTAATCAACTCAGCTAATGCCTGGAACTCCAAATTCCAAACACAAAGAAGAAAAACAGCAATGCACCTTTGAAACGAAGTAACAAAAATCAATCAAAAACAGAGGTTGCTTACACTGCTGACTTGGATCAGAATCTGTGGTCATCTTCACATAGTTTGAGGGGAAGAGACCTGTCACACCATTGATTTCTCCTTGCCACCAGTCAGCATCATCTTTGTTCAGCACATTAATCAGCTGCCCCTTGGAGAAAGTGAGCTCGTCCTCATTGTTTGCCGTGTAATCGTACATGGCTATCACCTGGCACACTGGGAAGGAAAGAGCAGAATGGAGTTATACCAGGATTAAAACTGTTTTCTCAGTGTTTTACAAAACCACAGGAAAGAAGCAACACACTGTTGCATGAGAAAAATGCCACATGATTTTATCTTGATACAGAATTGTCTTCCCTTTTCTTTTACTTCTTTAAAATGGAGCCAGCCAGTAATTCTTACTTCCACTTTATATATCTGTGAACTTTGATAATGAATGGATTACACCTACTGCCTTCCAAACACTTTACAATGTAATCAAGTATCCATCTTCTTTTACTGGCTGAAAAGAGAGTGAGTTTGATTATCTTACTGCAGACACTTGTGGGGAAAATGTGGCGGAGGAAGAGGAAACGTGCATTAGCTAATCATGAGTTGCTGCTTTAGTCACAGGGAAGTTTTGTCCAGTAAAACCCAGGAAATTGTTGTATAAGCAACTCATAGCTGTGGAGAACAGCATAATTTAAGCACACAGAAGCAAAAAAGCTCATTTTCTGTGAAATAACCTAATTTGTACTCAACCATTCAAATGGAAAAAACCTAGAAATAACCTGAAAATTTGCTTAGTCTCTCTCTTTGTAAGGAGCATGTAATTCCACATGGTTTGCCAATGTTTGCTAGCTCTAAAATTTTTTGCTAGCACTTGGAAACATGGAGTTTCTGAAAGAGAAGAGTATGGCTCTTCAGAACAACCATCAAAATTAAAAAGCCCAGAAGATGGATGCCTGACCTTCACAGATACATGAACATTTGAAATAGTTACATAAAATTCTAAATGAAATACAAAGTCTCTTTTTTTTCACCTGAGGGAGCAGCTGATGTGGTTCTTTCACTGCTTGGACCCAGCAGCTTCACGTGGCTGGCAGGAAACCATCCCTTCTGTCTCTTTTTCCCTCTTGCCTGTAAATGTTTATAATGGTTATTACACAACTGAAAAACTGAATAGTCCACAGAATAGAAAAAATTGCAAAAAATATGTCACAGAGTTTTGCCAACAAAAGACAAGAAGTCAGGCTTCTAAACAGCTAATAAATGAATCTTAAAAGATAAAAATCTGCTTAAAGCACAAAACAACACAATTCAGATAAAGCTGCACCCTAATATGTTAATACGAATTTTTTAAGTGAGATTTCAGAGTACAACTCAAATGTAGGGCTGAAAATTTGTTCTATGAATATTCCACCTATGCATCATATCCAGAGTTTCTAAAGAGGTCAAGGGCACTTTAACAGGACATTCTTCTTAAATCTAGGTGGGGAAAGGAGAGAAGTGGGAACAGCACTTCTGCATTACAGAAGCTTCCAACTCCAGCTTCCAAACCCACCTGTTCTTTCATTAGAATAACTTCACAGTTTAATGTTTCACCAATTAAATCCTAACCAATTAAGTAACTGTCAACTTGTCTCTTCCTCCTCCCGTCTGTTAATCGACAGTTTTACTATTTTATGTGACCAAGAAAATTGACTCTAAAAAAACCATAAAACCCCCAGCAACCCAAAGTTTTAAAAAGCCAACCAACCAATCTAACAAACAAAAAAAAAAATCCACCATACAGCTTTTCTTCCCCTTTGGTTTACACAGGATAACTTTCTGACCAGCTTTTATGTAACTCCATACTTAGTTGGTTTTTTTAATTAAACCTGAGAGCACCTCCTTGCCATTCAGGAATTCACAATTATTCCTCCTTGAATCACTTACCTGCAACTCTCCTTGCCACCATCCACTGGCATTTTTCTTCAGAATAAGTATCAGCTGTCCTGGAGCAAGACTGAGCTGTTCAGTTCCTGATGCAGCATAGGCAGTAGTAACCTGAGCGATTTCTGGAAAGAAAACAGTAAAATTGCATTTGTTATTTTTTCACTGCAGTAAGAGCTGGAACCACAGAAATAGCCTGGAACACAACTTGCAGCTAAGCTAAGAACACCAGCCACCAAACACTGCTATGAACCAAAATGCTCAGCGTTACCTAAGAAACAGCCTTACATGTTAAAAGGTTATCACACACTTACCGGGTTTCTTATTTATTGTTCCAGTTTTGCCAGCATAGCTAGAAGCCTACAAAGACAGAACAACAACCACCTTTAATAAACAATACAACCAGTACAGTTTACACTAAAGCACATGGAGATTTTAACTTTATATCCATATTTAACAAAACAGCATCTGTACAGAGAGAGAGGCACTGTGACACTGGCTACAGCTCTGATTTAGCACTCAAGCTACTAAGGATTTTCTTTTCTATCAAGCATATTAACCTCTGCTCAAAATCCCTGTGTAAGAGCTGGGTGCCAACAGAATGAAATGGAGAGAAAATACATTGAGAGTTGTTAATTTTCAGGCTCTGAACTCACGTCTGGATCTTTTGGTCTGACGTAATTGGAGGGGAAGATTCCAGTCCTGTTATCGATGCTCCCGGTCCACCACTCCCCTTCCTTCTGGGTCACCAGGATCTCCTCACCTTCCATGAACGTCAGGTCACCGGGCTCAGAGCTCGAGTATGGATAGAGGGCAACGTACTCTGTGCAAGGAGCACACAGGGGAGAGCAGAGCTTCAGAGGGGCACAAAGGAGCCCCAGATGCACATAAAGGGGTACCAGCATTCTCCAGTGTGTGCACAACAGGGTTGGTAACTGTGTGTTCATAACAGGGATCACACCTCCACAAGTCTGTGAGCTGACCTGTCCACCTGCTTGACTGCCCTCACAGTTACGCTTACAGGTACACAACTTTGTAATGAAAAAACACAGCTGCAATTAAAATATAATGGAGAACGCATGGAGATACACTAGAAATTTTTCTCCAGTAACACTTGTTTTCTATACTCCTTACTGACTGGAAGAGAATGAGCCACATTCAGGAGATTAAAAATTTTTTCTCATGTCTTTACAGAACAGCGTAACACAATAGAGAATAGCAGGAAGAGAACTCTCCTTATGGGTTTTTAGAAATATATTCATGCTTGAGCAGAAGTGTTAATAAGAGAACCTAGGCCTATGTTCAACCTGAATTACTTACAACCTTAAGTTCTTATTTTAGAACTTTTGTATGAACAGCTGAACATTTGCACTGTGTGTCTTGGACAAGCACTCAAAGTGCTGCTCAGAACCTCCTCACAAACTGAACTATATTCACAAGCCCTTAAGCAGAACCAGACTGTAGCATTAGTTGGCATTTTTCAGGCTCTCTTACCCTCTCCTGCTGTGTAATTCTGGGTATAAGGCCTTTTGTTTACAGCTGCATAAATAGCTTCTGGTCTGCAGAAAAAAAGGAAAAAAAAAGCTTTGTGTTACCAAGAGACTGATCAAGAGCAAATCTCACAATTCACATGAGATAAAGATCACTTTGGTTATATCAGAGCTGATCCCTGACTATCAAACAGTGTCAAGTTTTAATGATATTTAATATATTTATGGCACCCAAGAGCACACCACTTTAAAAAAATACCATGTGGTAAAAGGGAAGAGATAAATTCACAAATTATGTTATTCAAAAGGAGTAAATTAAAGATTTTGACTAAATTCTCTTATTCTAAAGAATTTCTAAGAAGTCTTAGCACAATGCACGAACAGAACAATTTACACACAGTGGTGCAGCCATCCCAGCAGTAACCAGACTTTACCTGAATAGTTACCCTGGAGCATTAGAACAGGCATAATAATCTTTTCTAGTGAAGAAAAACACACTGCTGCTCTGTGCAGAGCTTACAGTTAGTTTTGGGTCACTTAAAAATTGGCACCTTTAGAGGCAGAATGCAACTGCACTGCAAGAGAGGACACCTGGTAATGAACAAGAAGTCTGGCACTTGATGTATAATCAAACACCACTGATGTTTCACAGCACTCAGCATAGCAAGGCTGTCTATAGTTACACAGCAGTGAGCCCAACATTACTTGGCTTGCCAGAATGAAATAATAAAAGCCTAACATGACACAGTGTAAATTCTAAATGGCATTTATGTTCTGCACACTAAAGCACAGCAAGAATTTTGCACTCTAAACCACTGCTTTTTGCAAACTGCTGAATAAAACAACAACAAAAGTCACACTTACTCCTCTTTCTTGGTTTCACTCCCAGGTAAGAGCTTGACATAGGACTTTGGAAACCAACCCCTTCCTCCATGTACCTCCCCAAACCACCAGTTCTCCTGCTGCTCCAGGACAGTGATGATGTCATTCTTTGAAAAATTCAAGTGGTTATCTTTTTTTGCAGTCCAAGAACAAAGTGCTTGTGCTTTTAGGTTCTCTACAGGCTGCCCCTGTAAGACAGAAGTGATGCTGGTTTATCACACTGCCCCAGCTGTTAAAAACAAACACTGGTGTATCCTTTATTGAAGGTTAAGCAACTTCATTCCTAAGTGATGGCTGAATAACTTTGTTTACAGCAATGCATGCACGCAACTCAGTTTGTCAGAAATATCTTTTGTGTCTAATTGTAGGTGCAAATTATTTTAGAATTATGAAAGATGAGTGTTCTTGCTGAGTAGTCCCTGGAAATATATCAATTCACACTAGTAGAATATTCAGATGAGCTTCTTGATCCTCCAGGCTGTTCAGTGCACCCAGCACTAGCAAAGCTGTGTGGTGTTCTGGTTTTACTTTAAATCATTTTCATTAAGATGAATCTGAAATACATCAAGTTCTGCACAAGGTACCTGTCCATGAACGGGTGAAACAGATCCAGGGGACACAGTACGAGTAAAAGCTGATTTCTGCTGCCAGGCTGTGTTAACATTCAGGCTGGAAAAGGGGATGTTTTGGTACTCAGATTCTTCTGCAGATTTACTTGGTGAAAGTGGTCTGCAAATTGAACACAAGGCATATTTATCAAATTAGAACTTTTATTTAGAAAGTACCTCAAGCAGAGAACTTTTTTTTCAACATCTATAAAACTGATATTCTACACAATGAAAGCAGACTATCAAATACTTAAATTTTCCTTTTAAGAAGGTTCTTTAGTAAGTATTCTGCCTTTGTATTTTAAAAACCAAGCAAAACTATACAGCACATTATGTGCCAGCTAAATTTAGAAAAAGCAATTTAAACACAAACATAACAACTCACTCTGAAGCAGCTGAGGTAGTAGATAAAGATACTGTAGGAGGAAGTAAGGCTTTCTTAGGAGATAAAGCTTTTTCTCCTTCTGGTATTTTTTCTACATAATTGCACGGAAACCAACCAAAATGTCCTTGAAAACTCCCATAAAGCCAACCAGGCTCTCCCACAGTTTTTTCATCAACCTATGGACAGGAGGAGAAATACAAAGGAAAGAGAATTAGCAGCATGAAACAAGCAGGGACCTGGTGTGTCAGCACCTGCTGGCTCTGTGACCCCAGCAGGGGCAGTGCCCACACCAGGATCTGCCCTGGCAGAGCTGAGCTGATTTTGCCCTGTGAGGATGCAGCTGCACTGGTTTCAGACACAGGCACAGACAGACCCTGCTTCAGACAGGCCCCAGACGTGCACATGGGGGTCATGCAGTGCCTCTGAGCCACTGTCCTGCCAGAAATGCCAGTGCATTGTGCTGGATTCTGCTGAATGTGCAGCTGAGAGGAAGGGGCTGGTGAGCCCAGCAGGGCAGGAAACAACTGCTGCTGTTCTGCTCACAGATATTATTAACTCTGTCAGCTGACTGCTTCCAAAACACATCCAAAAATTCTGTTATTTAATATGTGATTAAGTATAGAGCATCCTTAAACATTCACAGCAATCCTGAAGCTTCCATTATGCTGCAAATTAGCCAGTTAGTGAAAATTGGCTAAAAATTAGCAGCCCATCAAACACTATCAGCTGGTTAGCTTAGCTGGGGTTTGGGATGCCAGAGGAGGAGGAGGAGGCAGCTGTTATCCTATTTCTGAAATCAGTTATCAGCAGTCAAATGATACAATTACAGCTGAGAGTGAAGTCAAAGCAAAACCTACTTCTCTTGTTCCCTCTTCCATGGCTCACTGGTATGAAAATGCAAATAAATGCTTTAACACTGTCAAACTGAAAGCTAATTTAGTCAAGTGTTTTAATATTTTGTACCACGTTGCTTCACAAATTCTTCCTTATCACCTACTTGTACTACTTACAGTCTGAATGAGGAGCAACCACACATACTTATACATTAGAAACTGTATTACCACAGTTGTAAACCAGTTTTCATACATTCACCTGCAGGCAAAGATTTTCAAACAAGTGCTAATAACTAATATACATTAAATAACACAGAATTCAACTGAGAAGCCACAAGGCATTACCAATCTTATAGTCCTGCTGTAATACTACAGACAGCAAATTCTGAGAAATGCTGCAATAAATGGACACAGAATAAATTACTCAAAGTGTCTGCCTCAGGGGGGATTGATAAAAAACACTCAGAAAGAGAATCACAGATTCACAGGATGGTTTAGGTTGAAGGAGATCTTAAAGATCACCTGGTTCCACCCCCTCTGCCAGGGGCAGGGACACTAGACCAAGTTGCTCAGAGAGGCAAAAATGTCTGGAAAGAATATACTGGAAACAGCATTAAGATTCAAAAGAACCTCTCACATCTACTTGTTATATAACTAATTTGATTTTAATTCAAGTGCCATCAATGAATAATTCATGTGTCTATTAACTGTGCTCACATTTCAAGCAAACACTCAGAAGCCAACTTGCACATGTGCAATGAGCTACAACAACCACATTGTTTCTGATCTACTACTTTTAGAAAGTTTATGTTTAGCATTCACTGTTCTTATATTTAAAGAGATTATCAACATATATAGGAAGTGTAAAATTCAGAGAAATATTTTGGCTGAACTAATCCTAATTTCACCTGTTTGAAAAAACATAAAGCAGCAATACAGTTTAAATTTTGAATAAACCTTACAATACATCAGCACAATGCTTTTGACCCTTAAGACTTTGTGCATCTCAAGGCTAGAGAAAAGGGTTAATTTTTGCAAGTTAAATGTGAATAGTCAATCTTACCTGAATTACATCTCCAGTATTAAAGCTCATCTCATCATGGTTCCTTGCCTCAAATGGATACAAAGCTCTGTAATTTACCAAGGCAATGGAATTCCTCGACTCTGCAGCACCAGTTGCCTTGCCTGGAAGGTAAGAAAACCAGTTACCACTCTGACACAGCTGAGACAAGCATTCAGTTGGAGCCCCATCACTCTAAGCAACTGGTAGGAATATCAGTTCTTGCCCCAGTCACAGTGCAGGTACCAGAGGAGACCACCAGGGCATCAGTTTAACACACCAATCATGGAAATGTAACTGAGACAACAAAATGCATTGACTTCTGCAGTGAAAAAATCACAAAAACACAGAGTGGGTTGGGCTGGAAGGGACCTTAAAGGTCATCTCATTCCAGCCCCCTGCCATGAGCAGGGACACCTTCTGCAAGACTTCATTAAAAATGACATTTTTATCTTCTCCTCTTTCCTTGCCACGCTGCTCTGGCTAAGCCAGTGCCTTAACAAAGCCTCATTTAACACCACTATAATGTTTCAAGTTGAAAAGATCCCACTGTTGCAACAATGAGTGTTCAGCAGCATGTTGTGAAGATTTTATTTAGAAACCTATAATAGAAAAATCTCACAATTTCTATTTTCTTTGCATCTCCGTTCTCCATGTCAGTGACTGATGCTGCAAACAGGGAATGTTTTACAAGGTTTAGCTGAGGTGTGCAAATATCTTCCAGCCCTGTTCTAGTTTGATCCTTGCTGAACTCAGTCAGAAAAGTGGCTAATAAAAACTGACAAGAACTAATGAAGGATGAAATTAAATGTGCCTTTAATGAAGATATTGTTAAAGCACTATTTTTCCAAGTCCCACAGCTAGTTAGGCCTAGTCATTCAGTTTTTTGGTTTTTTTCATCTGATGCATTGAATAATGCCAAAAGAAACTATATTTCACTATTACGAAATCACTTTTCTGAACCTTACCTGCCCATCTCTCATCAATGAACAAACCCCCTCCATATTAGCATTCTATTTTAATGAAAGAAAGTGCAAGCCCTAGGAAAAACCTCAAATATTACTGTTTCCAGCAACTGCTATTTGTTGACCATGATCACTGGAAGATCTGTCATGAGAGTCATAGGTGCTGAAAACTGACAGAAGTAACTTAAGTTTATAGGATCATTCACAACTGACAGAGAGATGAAACACTGCTGGTTTGGGTTCTTTTTAATTGTATCTTAGGCAAGAAGTTTGCTATAGAATCACACCAATAATAGTACACCTGAAGAGTGAAGGAACACTCAGGAAAGTAGAAGTCCAAAAGTCTAACGATTTTGAGATTACCTTCATTTTTCCAGGGTGGCTTAAGACTTTTCCCCTCTGTTGGCTTCAACAGATCTGCAAACTTTTCATTTATGTTTATTTTAGAAGTGTGTTTCTCCACCTCTTGAGAATTAGTTGCTTCTTTTATCTTTTTCATCTCCTCATTCTGCTTGCGCCTCTCCTCAGCTTCTTTTGCTATTTGTTCTTGCTTTCTTTTATCTTCTTCCAGTTGCCTCTGCCTTTGTTGTTCCACCTCCCTCGAGACTGTGCCTTGTCTATTTTTCTCCTCCTCTGCAAGAAGCTGTTGTTTGTTTTCCCTTTCTCTCATCATGGCAGCTGCTTCTTCAGCTTTCAGCTTTTCTTGGACTTTTTCCTGCATTCGTTCTTCCTCCAATCGTTTCTTTTTCTCTTCCTCTTCCCTTCGGATATTCTCCTGCCATCGGTTCTCCTTCTCCCGTTTTGCCTTTCTGGAAGAAAGGAATGAGAGAGGTAAGAGAACATCCATATAAAAATGAATGAGATTGTGTTCCTACAGTAATCAGTGACACTTGCCAGCAAAACTGAGTTTATGACATTGATCACTCTGCTCTCAGGGTCATCAGCTCTGCCACAGACCATGGCTTAACATGAGTGCCAGAGTGTTCCACATAAAAATAACAAATTGATTAAAATTCAGTAATTTTAGTCCATCACCTGTGCAGTGCCTTCACAAGCACTTCTGCCCAGCTGCATCCTGATGAGCAAGAACTGATCTGATAATTGAACCAAGCTGGATTTAAGCTCTCCAGCAAGGCAGTATCCAAATATCCTGACTGGAAACAATGACTTCCAAAGAGATTAATTTCACTCAGGTACATAGATAAAAATAGCCTTTGCATACTGATCTTGGCAGCTTGATATTTTTGCCTTCAGCAGTTGTAATCTATCCAATGTGCTTATCCTTGCCAGGACCACACTGCAGCAGCCAGGATCTGGAAACCTGACTGTATTCTCTGCAACTATTCAGATTTATCCTGTGCCTCAGCTGTCTAAAGAAGTTTATATCCAATTCAACACAATATGTCAGCTGTCAAGACCTTTCTTCTGAAGAGAAAGGACCTAACCCTTTGGGTCATCTTCTTAAAAATGTCTAGATGAGACCTTTTCATCCATTCCTTGTGGGACATCCACTCCTCTGATGGGTATTTTAGTGTTTCCAAGCACGTGGCAGGATGCAGTAGGAGCTGTGCAGTGAAGCTGTTATTCCATCATACAGCTGTGTCCAACCAAAAAATTCACAGGCTATCACCACACATATGGCACATGGCTCTCTTAGACTGTCACTTAAAATGTTATGAAACTTCATCACAGGCAGAAAAATGCCGTGATGAGCAAAGCCCATGAATCACCCACACTACAAGGTCACTAGCTCTGCTTCTTTAGTCAAATCAAGTATAAATCATTGAAAAATGTCAAATTCAAACCCTCTTACAGGAGGAGTGGTACTCCACATAAAATGCTTCCTTTAAGGCAACCAATAGGATGCATTTTTACATTAAAATATAGATCTCATCTTAAAAGCCACAACAGCATTATTTTGTTCTAAGAATTGCAGCACTGACACCCTCAGCCATGACTACCTTGCAGCCTCATCTTCCAGTCGCTTCTTCTGTGCCAGCTCAGCTCTTCTTTTTTGTACCTCTCTTATTTTGTCTTGTTTGATCCTGTGGAGCTGCTCCAAGGCTAATTGCTGTGTGCTGTAACTTTCCCTCAGGTCCTAGGGAGGGAACAACGGAATACATAAAAGGGAATAAAGCCAATCTTTGAGAAAAGCATCCAGGCATTTAATGCTTTTTCAACCAAGTTTTAATACAAATGGCCAAAATAGTATTAAGTTATTAATAGTCCTTGGAGGTCACTGCAAAGAAGGTCAAATCATTGAAAGTATAAAAGGAGATGGCAGGTTTGCAAAGTCAGTGATGTAATTTGGGCTTTCAAAGAGCCCTTCCAGTCCTACACCTGCTGGAAATGCCAAATAGAACAGAGGAGAGGGGAAGATACAGAGCTGAGTGTTGAAACACAACATTACTGAAGGCAGCGAATTGTATTTTAAGTAACTATAAGGAGGCAGATTTCAGCTGAAAGCCAACACTGCACCATAATCTGAGAAAGTATCCTGCAGTAGGGTGCTCACCCTCGATGCTTCCTGAGTGATCAGTCCCCACGTTTAAACCAGAAAAACTTCATAAATATACCCAGCAGTCTTACCACTGTGGGAACCACAGCTTAAAGACACTAACTCTGACTGGACTTTTTCTGTACTTGTAACCTTTTCAGTTCTAATATTTCTTTTTGAACACATCCTTCAATTCCTATCCCACCTCCCTCTGATAACAATCTTTTTTTCCAAGCAAAAAATCAGCATGACTCTTTTGAATAATTAATTTATAGACCAAAAAAAAAAATCAACAATAATCGTACTTTAGCCTGTACTTCGCCTTGTGGCAAAACACCTCTAAGATAGTTCAGTCTTTTTTCTTAGGAAAATCCTGCTGATATACATTGAGCAATGCAAGAGGTAAACCCTGACTTTTTGTATCTGATCACATAAATACAAATAAAGCAATTAAGAATTAATCATTCCCACTACTATATGCACCTCTAGCAAGAATCATGTTGCCTAAGACATATGGTGCAATTTATATGACAAAGGCAAGATAACACAAATGCTGTGTCATTGGAAGTCTCTGTAGCAACACACTAAATCAAGAAAATGACTACAATTTTTTCTCAAATATATTCAGATGGGAATATTTTTCCTTCTTATTTTGTCAAGAATTTCAGGAACACTATGGAAGGGAACTTACATTAGAAAAACTCTCATCTCTTTAAGGACAGAAAAACCCTCATGCAAAGCAAAATGAAAAGCTCAGTTAGGTAATTCTGTTGGGTTTTTTTTCCTCATACATTATTCTGAAAGTACTTCTGACCTCAGCAGACAAAAGTAGTGTTGAAAGACAGCAAGTATGTTTTAGTACTGGGTTAATCTGGAGGTTTGACAGCATTGTGTTTGCCATACCATATTCTGCACTCTGGTGCTACTTCTAGACTTTTAAACTTGGACAAGAACTCAAATACCTGACTCACAGCTTAGGATGGATGGATACAGGTACAGAGCAAGAGATGGAAAAGTAGGAGAAGACACTCTTTCCATCTGAGACCACTTTTATGGTTCATGTTACCTTAACTAACAAGAAAAATGTTTGGGTGAAACAATTTAGAAAACAGTCCATTAAGAAATTAAAAAATTAAATGTGAGTTTTTTGCTCTCAGTATCGTGCAGTTTGGATTTCTAAGCAGGTAAGTACGTTAAGTCTTAAAGAGGATATAAAAGCTAGCAGAAAGAAAAGCAGCCTACTGATTTTCTTTTGGGAAAATGTATTTAATAGAAGTTGTACATCCAAACAGAAAGGGTAAGCAGAGAGAAATTGCGAAATAATTAAAAAAGAAAAAAAGCCAAAGATTAGAAAATAACCTTAAGTAAGAGGAAGAGGTTGTTGAGACAGCTTAGCAGAGACAAAAGGCACTGAAGAACAGAATCATCCATATTCTCACACTGTAAGATAAGGTAGATAAAAAGCCAATTAATCTTTGCACTGTATTTTGAAAAACATATTTTAGGGAAGACTGAACTGTGGATGCAGCCACTGAACACAGCAAGCCATGCAATAATCAAGTAACTGAAAATGCCCATTGCATGAAGCCACTTCTAAAAAGAAAACAAATTCCATACACATTTACAAATTTATGTGGCCTTTTTTTATTGGAGAGTGCAGAGCCCTCGTGCTGGCCCAGCATCAATCCATTACTTAAGCAAAAAGTTCCCACTAGTGCCACTTGGAGTAAGCTGGCAAATGAAGTTAAATGGATGTGTGCTACCCTGTGAGAGCTGCCTGAGATTTTAGGCAGGCCAAGAGTTGCCTGAGAAACAAAAATTCACAGCCAGTGGTCAACAATTCTTAGCTTACAACAAATTAACAAATATTTTTAAAAAGTGGCCTACACCTACTTTTAGGCTCGTACCCAAATCTGCTGCCAGACCTTGCACAGTGTACTGTGAAACTACACAGGTCTATCAACAAAAGTCAAGTGTTCAGTACACAATTCAAAAATAGCAGCAAATATGACCTCATACTGTAAGAACAGAATGTGCAAGGGCCTGAGAAACTTTAATTCTAAATCAAAATGAGTTCTAGAAGGTAAAAGGTGAGAGTGAGCAATAGTTGAGTCATGCAAAGCAATAGTTAGCAAGAGACTCATATTTTAGTACATTAGCAATATGTTTGCATTTTTATTGTATTATTTACTCCAAGACTTTTGATAGTTCTTGTCTGACACTGAAGTTGGTGGAAGCCTGGTGAAAGTGACACCAATCTTTATGACTGGATGAAGAAAACAAATACAGTGAAGGATATTTAGATAATGCAAGTACCTTAAGCTGACTGTTAAATTCATCCATTTCAGCAAGTTTGGAAGCAGTTTCCTTCTCAAGGGCATCTAGTTGTTCCTTAAGTCTTTGGCATAATTCTTCCTTTTCTTGGGATTTCTTGTGCACTGAATTGACTCCTGTACCTGCATAAGGAAAGACATGCAATTTTACAAGTGTTCCTGGGGTTTTTTTCAATTTTTTACCCCAGTTTTTAAACATAGTTTGCTATTTTTCCATTGTATACACAATCCAAACCTCCTTCCTCACAAAAATTCCTTGATTTACCTTTCTATTCATATACAGCACAAGGAAGAAATATCCCCAACACTGAACTAAGGCACACAGGCATTACATGCAATACATACAGATTAATTTGCAAGTTGTTGGGTTTTTTAATATCAGACCAATTCATACCAAGTTTCTCTAGATAGTGACTTCCAGTGTAATTTGAAATAAAGACCAATGTAAACCTCACATAAATGAACTCCCCTGAGTTTAGACTACCAAAAAAAGGACAAATTGTAATAGTATCTGTGAGCTACACAGCCTGTATAAGTAAAATTTCAAGCAAAATCTGTACTTTCTTGCCAAAATGTGTCTGTCCCTTATTTGGAAAATGAAGGAGATCATGGAATGCAGATGAGACAATGGCACTAAACTGGGCAGATGCAGAAGTGAAGGTGTTATTAACACCTCTGTACCCTTCAGCCTTGATTACAAGGGATGAGAAAACAGCAAGGCAATCAAGAATAGAACTCATGTGCAGGCACTTACTCTGAGTGTTTTCAAGTTCAGCATTTTTTATCCTTTCATTTAACAACTGCTTTTCAGGAACCAAATAGATTAGTTTATTCTGATAATCCTGTAGATGTTGAAGAGAACATAACAATTTTTAATACTGTTTATGAATCATTAAGTAAAACTGAGAGATTTTTCAAACATAGCTTCAACTCATGTTAATGAATCAGGGATGCAAGCTCTTATTACTGGATAAAGAAAAAAATATTTCTATACTCTTAATAGAAATAATATTACAATTGAAAGCTTTTGACAACAAACCATTAACACAGCTGAAAAAACATTTAACAAACATGCAAAAAGTGTAAATATTATCACAAGACCATTTAAGGTGACTGCCCCAAGCTGAACATAAAACAAAAGTGACAACATGAGAAGAAGTTTCCCTGATGAGCAGAAACATCACATAAAAATATGGCAGAGGATAATTGTTATGGCAGTCAAGTGATTAGAAATAATTAATGTCTTGTTACTGAAATAGAGAAAAAAAAAGATAAAAGAGCAGCAAGGTAATTCAACCTAAACACTAACTTGGTCTGAACAGAGGACAACATTCCTCAAAAGAATCTGAGTCTGGAGCCATAGAAGAATTCAAAATTAAAGAGAAGTCTCTACTATCAGTCCACAAAAGAATAGCTGAGGTTTTCACAACTGTTATTGAACTCTCAGCTCATTTGAATACATATAATCATTTGTTTAATACCACAGACAAAACTAAAAGCCTCTGCAATGCTGACAGTCTTGCCTACTTCCTCTCTCCACTGCAATCCAACTGACTGCATATTCCTCCCTATGGAGATGCATTATCAACAGCATTAGGGAAACACAGAATATGGTAAAAAAAACCCATAAGCTTAAATTTACACACCTCCAGCTGTTGCTGTAATTGCTTGACTTCCATGATTCCTTGGTCATATTTCCTATCCAATGCCTCCAGCTCTGTTTTTCGCATTTGCTTTTTGCTACGAATATCCTGCAACCTGCCTGAGATCTGCTGATGTTTGTCAGTCTGGAAAGAAAGCAGAGACAGATTACACCACATGTGGCAAAAACCCCTTTGCTAAGCCTGTGGGCAGGTTAGTTCACAACCGGTTCTCTAAAACAACCCAAAATACCTGTTTTAGATTCATCATCCAAAACAGAGTGGAACTCCTAGTGGGCCATTAATGCAGGTATTAATATTTGTATAATTTAAAATACTGCATTTCAGCATATGTGGTGAAATTCCTGTCTTACCAGGGCTTCTAATTCAAGACTAAGGCTCTTCTTTTTAGAGGTCAACTTGACAATTTCTTCTTGCTCCCTGTTACGCTGATTAAGAAGCTCTTGGCGACGGATTCTCTCCCATTCCAGTCGTCGCTGGCGCTCAAGCTCCTGCTTTGCTGCCTGAGGAAAAGTTGCATTACCTTAAATTACAGTGGAGATGCAGAACTCAGAGACCACGATTTAATATAATGTGCTCTATTTCTAAACAGCACACAACATAATGTCTTCTCTAAAGTGCTCTTATACACTTCAGCATCAAGAACGCAGGAAGTGATCCTGCAAGATTCATCATGCCACACTCCTGGACTCTGGATGAAGAAAGCTTCATAATTCAGAAAGCCTTTGCAGCTTGGAATATTGCCCATAAAACAGCACATTGACAGATACTGCTTGTAACCTCCTTTGAGTATTTCACAGAACTACATAAAATATGGAAGTGTGATGCATGCACTAAGACACCAAGTAGAAGCAAATTTGTCTCAAGCTCGGCTGTCAAAATGTTATCAATTATGAATTTAGTAGAGTCATGTTTGGAATACAGATTTTTGCAAAAGTGCAAGAAATATGCCGAAGAAAATCTCATCTGTCCTATGAAGTATCTGAAAACCTTTAACCTATACCAATATTTATAACAAATGGTGTTCTGTATCCAACAACCTGGCATCAGCCAGCCAGGAGACACAGCCAAAGCCAGCACTCAAAGCCTGGATGCTGTATGCACACACACATTCCTTAGAGCACTAAAAACAATGTTAAGAAAACAACCTCCCGCCTTTCTATTTCTTTCCGCCTTTCTTCTTCCCTTTGTCTCTCCAGCTCTCGTTGTCTCTCCAGCTGCCTTTCCATTTCCAGCTGCCTCTTCCGTTCCTGCTCCTGGCGTTCCCTCTCTCTTCGCTCCTGCTCTTCCCGTTCTTTCTGAGCCTTTCTTTCAGCCTCTCTCTGCTGCTGCTCCAGCAGGACCTGGCGGCGTTTTTCCAGCTCCATATTTCCCCTCTCATAGTTGGCTTTCCTTTTGTCCTCAAATGTCACTAAAATAAGGAAAGGTCGTTATTTCTGCCCTGTGCAAAAAACCGCTCTCAAACAAGGACCTCAGTTATGCCACTAAAGATAGATACTGCTTGGCAAGCTCAGGTTGTTCAGTCATGGATGATGTAAGCATCTTCCATTTGTTAAAGTATTATTTTTCTGTTCAAAAATACCTCTAAATTTTCCTAAGTATATTCCAACTGGAAGAAAAAAAAATAAAAGAAGAATAAGTTCCAGTTTAAAAATTACCACAAAAATGACTTGAATGTTACAGGAAGGCCTTTCACTCTAAAGAATGAAAGATGAAAGAATGCTAGAGGAAAACATAAAAGAACAGCTTTTATAAGCTGGGAGAAAACTGTCTCCTGTTAGAAAGGTTTTCCAATGTGCAGGAAACATTAACACATAGGTAAAGAGCTTAATTTTTAAGGGTACTCCCTGTAAGAGTTCCTGGAGTTAAAACTATGAGTAACCAAAACAGGATCAAGCTCAATTACTGCACACAAGGATAAAAAGAGACACAAAGGAATGGTTTAGGCCCCCAGCAAGCACCTTTCCCAAAAGAGAGGCAAGTCCTGTCTTGCAGTGTCCCTATAACATGGTCAGTAACAGAATTTATGTTTTGTTCAAACTGCTTCCAGTTTGCTGAGAATTGAACTACACTGGACCCCCCTGTTTTCAGAATGGTCAGCAGTACCAGGAACTTCCAAATGAAAAAAAAAATTGCAGTAGCACAGCAGTGTCTGGCCATGAAGGGTTTATTTTCCAGAATACATTATTAATCAGCACTTTTCCTTTCCTACAGCTAAAAATAGCCCCTGTCCCTGCCTTCTCAATTCTATTAGATGTAACAGGCTGGCTACATCCACTTAACAACCTTCCTACCATCCCAATTAAAAGGGATCTAGCTCCTGAAATGAAGCTCTCCATGGATTGGCTTCTTTCTTCCACTTTCTAAAGGTTTCAGTGCCCTTCAAAACCAGCCCCATACATTAAGAACATGAACCCTGTTTTTTTACCTGGCTGTTTTTTCTGTGGCTCCTCCTCTTGCACAGGTTGGTAAGATGGCAGAGTTCCATTTATATTTTCAGTGTATTTTCCACTCCTGCAGGGGAAGAAAACCCCACCCCACCATTGTTAGAGAAACAGCACAGTTGTGTTACACATATTACATTTCACTGCCCTCAGTGATTACCTGAAAGAAGGTGGCACCAGCTCAAGGGGCAGAGTCAGGGGCAGTGGCTGCCCAGCTTTGGCCATGTCTGTGAGGTGCATGGCCAACACAAACTCATCAGCCTTCAGCTGCCCATCTCCATCTATATCAGCCAGGGACCTGCAGGGGTTCAGCAGCAGCACCAATTAGAACCAAACACCACAATCACTCACAAATTACAGCTGAAACAAGACACTGTGGAAAAACAATTTTTAAAACTGACAATTCCTGTGGAATGTTTTGGTAAAAATACTTACAATTAGTAACATAAATAATTGATGAAGGGAAATATTTGGTTTAACCATGTACTGTTATTCAGATCACGGAATCATGGAGTGGTTTGGGTTAGAAGGGATCTTAAATCTCATCCAGTTCCAACCCCCTGCCATGGACAGGGACACCTTCCACCAGCCCAGGTTGCTCCAAGCTCCATCCAACATGGCCATGAACACTTCCAGGGATGGGGAATCCAGCTTCTCTTGGCAGCCTGTTTCAATGCCTCACCATCCTTACAGTACAGAATTTCTTCCTAATATCCAATCTGAACCTGCGGTCTTTCAGTTTGAAGCCATTCCCCTTTGTCCTGTCTCTAGATGCCCTTGTAAATAAATTCTTCATCTTTCTTTGGCTATTTTCAGGTAAAGCTTTCTTTTCAGCTTCACTGAAATGTTCTCTTCTCCAGCCTGAGAATCCCCATTCTCCCACATTTCCATAAAACACTGAAAATAAGAAGTATCTCTTGCTCTATTGCATCACAAATAGAAGAGCTGGAAAGTGAAACCAGGACTGTTCTTAACCAGCTCATTTCTAAACGCTAGAAACCACTTTTTCAATTATTTTTTTGAAGCCAAAGAAAACATTACATAAAATTACATCAAACTCTACAAGAAGAAGCTTTGCAAAGAATTCTTTTTTCCCCCTGTGTCTCCTTGACAGTGCAGGGAAGACACGAGCCAGTGCAGAGTAGCTTGCAGTGGGTAGAAAAAGGATCACCTACCCCCTCTAAGGAGCAGGAGATCATATGAGCCTAAAAAATGTTTCCCACAAACTGGGGCGGCTGGTGAGGTGTGTGTGTGTTTGTGTGGAACCAGTGAAATGCAAGAAAGCAGGAGCCTTTCTCCAAGAACTATCTATGGAGATAGAATTGCTGAAATGTGTCCTTAGACTGCATGAAAACAAAATGCTTAGTAAAAACACAGTTCATTAAAAAAGCAGTTAAAAAAACCCTATGAAAAACAAACACTAAAAAAACCAACCAAACAAAAAACAAACAAACAAAAAAAAAACCCAAAAAAAACCCCAAAAAAAAACCAAAAAACCATCACACACACATGCCACAGTGAAAAACAAAATCAGGAGATGATGATATTTTGTTATGTTCACACACCAGCACTACTCACACATAACAGCACCTTTATTTCAGTAATTACCACTAACAAGCACCCAGCAGAAATACTGGTAATGTCTTTGGGCAAAACTGAAATTTGGGCTGTTACTTCTCTCTACAGGGGAACACAAAGCTCCTTGAATTGGCTACTGACACCTTCAGGATACACACCCAGAAGGAAAAGAGCCATTGCAGACCTGATTTATTCCCCCAGACTCCAGAGAGGAGCAATACAACCCCACAGCCCACGTTTATCTTCACAGCATGAAACCAACCAAGCTGAGCTTTGCTGCTGCTATAGACAGAAATTACTGTCCTGGCACAGAGGAAAAAAGAAAGGGAACTCAAGAGGAGAGGCAAAGCTGTTGTGAATTCTGCTGGGCCACTAAATTCCACGTATAACATCTGAGTTATGTCTGAAGGTGTAACTAAACTGCCATGTCTAGCAGAGCAGATCATTCAAGCCTTCAAGACAACTCTCACCACTTTCATCAGCACAATAAAGGCAAGTATTAACAAACACGTAATATGCAAATATCTTTAAGGAAACTGCAGTAAAACTCAAAAAAGCTGAAGGGTTACTTAATTTTTAATCTTCCTCCATACTTTAAAACTAACAACCTAGATTTCAGAATCCTATTTTTGAAGCCCTCAACTCAGTGAAAGCATCTCTGGATCAGAAATGGAAGTTAGCATCTCTTCTTTTATACAGAGTTTAACAAACACACATAAAGAATTGAAAAACTGAATTATCTCAAGGTGTCTTTTAGAAATGTAACCAGTGAACAAACTTGGTTTAACTAGCAGCTCAGTTTCTGTTTATGATTTTAGAGCTGTGGTATCTCTTTATAATTTTTATTTAATAAAGTACGTTTCCTCTCTTGACACCATAAAGACACTGAATCAGTAACTAAACTCACCAAATAGTAGCCAGCTGAGTCTGTGAAAGATTTGATTGCAGAAGGGCATTCCTTGCTTGGAATCCTTAGAGAAAGTATAAAAGATTTTTATTAAAATAAGCACTTCATTCAAAGGTTCACATGAGGCAAAAAATGGGTCACAAACTGGGACATGTTTATTTTTAATATTAATCTAATCCATTTTCATCAGTTGGTTTTACTTCCAAGCTTAACAACAGGCATTATAACCTGAACACAATGAAGATGTAAGTGTTCTCCTGTACCTTTTTCCACCCAGAGCACCTAACAGAAAAGCTGACATGAAAAACAGGTATATATGGTAATTCCCACAGCTGTCACAAAAGTACAGCTGAGTGTCTGCCTAAACCTTGAGCTATCACCTGGAGAGCTTTCCTTGGTAGCAAAGAATCAGATACATTTCTAGGCAGGTTTAGGAAACCTTCAGTCCAAAATCGACTGAACAAGATTAAAACATTGAGACTCTTTCCTTAAAGAAAGGATTGTCCTGCTCTTTTACAGGGGAGGGAACTGAGGCAGAGTGCTTATTCAAAATGGGAACTCTAATGCAGACAAACAAGACACACATACTGACTTTGCACCTCCTGACTGCTCTCTGAGTGCTCTCTACTTGCTGCACTACACTGAGGAATCCCATTTTCTAAGAACTTTTGTAAAACTCTCCTCCTTGTATTAACTTGGTATGAAGTCTTTTGAAGCCACCATAATGCTGTGGGGCCCAGCATAGATGTCACTGGAAATTAATCTCTTGAATTACTATGGAAAAATTCCAAACAATGGCTGCAGTTCTGTAGTGTCTTTCCCAAGTTGCTTTCTTTCAAAAGATAAAGCCCAAGTATTTGAGCATTGACTGATACAGGAACACACAGCACAAAAATGATGGTGAATGTCCCCCATTGTCACAAGAAAGAGTCTCAGTCCAAAGAGGGAAGTTTGAAAAATGACTGCTGACTTTACAGAGCTGAACTCCACAGCCTCGTGGCTCTCAGGCTCCTCTAGTCAGGTCCCACCACTCCAGGCTTCTCCTCTTCCCTGCCACAGCTGCTGTAGCTTCCCCAGTGTATTTGGCTCCTCCAGGTCTAACACAAAGCCCAAGTCAATGAAATTATAGTTATTTCCACTCCTTGGCTGGCTGAAATCCACCCTGTCCTGCACAGGTCTGAACACCAACATTCCAGCTTTTATTTCACATGCAAGTCAAATCCCAAGCTGGGATTCCATCCCTCAGCCTGTGATGTTCAGAGGCAGGAAACTCTCTGGTTTTCCCAGTCCATACCAAAAGTCATACTCACCTGATAAATATCCACTCATGCTTTTATCAAGACTGTTAAATTTCTGTCTGTATTTTAGTCTGGAGGCCTGAGGAACTGCCCAGTCTGAGGAAGTAATCTTTGGTGAATTCCCAGCTAGTGATGCACTAGAGGAAGAATTTGAACTGCAATATAATTTCAAAACAAAACAAAGCAAAAAAAAACCAAACCAAACCAACCAACCAAATATTAAAAGAAAACCAAAAGAGAAAAAGAGATAAAGAAATAACTCTAAATCACTTGGTTTAAAAAAGAGGCATTGGAACAGAAGATACATAGAATCTTCCAGTAACATGAAACAACTTCCACAAAGTTTTACCTCTGCTAACTTACTATAAATAATTTAATCACAAATATGGAATTTTACAGCCAAAGTGGGGATATATTTGTAAGGAAACAACAATTTGATTAGAAAACAATTTTCCTTTGGTATCACAGGCACTAATGCACATAATTAATCCTTCTACCACTGCAGAATGATAGTATAGGAAACCACAGGAAAACACCTCCACTATCCCAAGAGTACTGGGTCATTGTTTAAGTAACTTTAAGAGGCATGTAAATGAATAAACATGAGAAGAAAAATGGATCTGATGAACTCATAACCATAAGCAGCTTCTAAAGCGTTTTAATAACCATATTCCAGCTCTACTTCTTCTTTCTGTGACAATGACATGCTGAGTGGAGCTTTTCCCACAGTCAGTTTCTGCAGAATAGTGCTGATGGAAGGCTTAGATATACCCATCAAACTTCCACCTTAAGTCCCAACATTTTCAGTGTCCATCTCTGAAAATCAGACAAACTCAGGAGAGCTGAATTCAGCCTGCCATGTTTAAGGTGATCCCCTGCTCTGTCAAGTAACAAAAAACCAAACTCTTTGAAGTGCTACCCAAGGCAGAATGCTGATAGAAACAAAGCCTCTCCAGCACAGTGCTGGATTGATATCCCCTGCATGGAATGACACAACATGATGGTGGCAATGCTTGCCAACAATAACACTGGAGAAGGGCTCCTTTGTACATCACCAGTAACAGAAAGCTTTCAAATTCAAAAAAGACAACCAACCAAAAAAAAAAAAAAAAAAAAAAAAAGATGGTCCCAGGCACATGCCATGCCTACAGTCACCTTACAGAACATCTGCTGACATTGGGTGTGTGAGGAGCCCAGATCATGCACCCCACATGCCCTGAACAGGCAGCAGGGAGCTGCAAGAGCCTCTGAGTTACTTATGGAACTGAGCTGGGGCAGAGGTGCCCTCAGGACCATCTTTTGGGAGACATCCCTGGATGCCCAACTGGATACATAAGCCCAGTCCCTCACTATGTGCAAGTCCCTCTATGGCAAAGCTCCAAAATCAGTGAACCAGAGCAGCTGATTATAAAGATCTATAATCTTCTATTATTCATAGAACAAATTCTCACATAAATATTGATAAAAAATCCTATTCTTACATGACTGCTGATGACATGGTACCCTCTATAATGAATGAGCACATAATGCACAAACATTGCTTTTATAACCACTTAGCAAGGTTTGTTTCTACTTACTAATGAGGTACATTTCCTTCTTTTTGGCACTGCTCATCTGACCTCCTCACCTACTTTGGATATTCTGTCAATTTACTGAAAATTACTTACTATGCATATAAAAACAAAACCTGTTTTTATACCTGACAGGTCATGTTAGATTGACTAATTTTAACAAAGGCACTTTGAGAACAGAAATGCTCTGTATACCACTAAAGGTATACTACTTTAGTGTAAGATACAACAATTTTAAATTTAACTTCAATACCTGCTAGATCCTAAATCAATCAGTGACTGTGCCTTCTGCATACTGGAACCACCAAATCCTCCTGCCATGGGGCCTAAAGAACCAGTATGAGGCAGTGCTGGAACAAGAAGAAACAAAAAATGAACCACAAAACTGTAAAGCAACTGGGAATAAGATAATGCTTCATAATCAACACTCAATTTGATAGAAGTAAGAAAAGCTAATCAGTGTCTTGTTGTTATGATTAACTAGTTAGAATAGAATTAACAAATGTGAACTTGGGAGAAAAACCATTTGTAAGGTTTTCTGTTGGTTCGGATTTTTTTTTAACTCTCATGCATGTGATAGCACTCCTGTCTGAAATTAGCCATAGGGAAAATAAGATTCACAATTCTGAGAGCAAGTACTGGGCTGTGCTATACTTACTTGAGGAGAAAGGAACGGACAAAGGCTGCAGAAGGCTGGATGTTCCATTTGGCAACGAGGAGGTACTGACAGAAGGCACCAGGGGAGCAGAGATAACCAGAGGAGGAATGGAAGTCATGGAGGTCAGAGACATGGGAGCTAATGGTGTGATCGCAGACATAGACGTTGGCATGGACAGATTTGGCATACTACCCATTCCTAGAGCAAAATCCAATAATTCAGGGTTTAACATTGCACAGGCTTCAGCAAGAAATTGGGTCCCTCATGTGGGGCAGAAACTACACAAAGCAACTGCTGTCTGGAATACAGTGAGTTAAAATAGATGCTCATGTACAATATTTACTTTTTCTCTGAATTTAGGCAGGACAGCTCACAGGGGAAAATACACTGAAGAACAGGAATTTAAAAAGAAAAATCTTGACAAGTAAATTTATTCTCGAGGTAGGTTTAGCTACTGTATTCACAACAGAGTAAGATCTGGTTTTCTATAACTGCAGCTATACCTATTTCTTCGACAAGCCTGGCCCCTGAGAGAGAATTACAACCTCAAAAGCTGTGATAATCCTCCATGGGGAAAAGCTGCTGCTGTTTCTGAACTAAGTCTCTTCCAACTATCAGCCTTGGAAGAATCCACAGGGGTGAAAAAATTCTTATTAGGGACCCATGCTTAACTAGAGGCAGCTGCCTGAGGCTAATTAGGGCACTTGAATTACTGGCTGCACCTTGTGGAAGACAACAGTGCTGGTGAGATGATGCAAAGTTATAGAGGTAACTGTATGCCAACCACAGCTCCCTGTAAATGCATGCCCTTGTACCCAAACACACGAGATTTGGTGATGGGCAGACATTTTAAATCATGTATGTAATTAACATATGCATACATTTAATTTCAGCATAGAAGTGTGCATGTATTTTGTAATCCAGCTCAAGTCATTGTGGATATTTTGTGCTATAAAATAACACAATAACAAGCATGCACTGAATCCCCAAACACTATTAAAAAAAAAAAAAGTCAAAGTAATTCTATTCAGTTAATCATAAAACCAAAAGAGTCTGATTCACTTTGGAAAAAATATGTAAAACAGCTGTTCTACCAAAACTCCGACCTTTGACTAAATTTAACTTTAAAACCCTCATGTATAAATAGGTGACTGAGTAGGAGGAAGAAAAAAAAAAGACCACCAGTACAAAATGAGAGCCTGCAAGGCAGATGGCAGATGTGAGTGGTCTTCTTGTCAAAATTGAATAAATGTTTCTCTCTATTAAAAGTCTTCCAAGAATCAAATTTTCAAAAATATCAAGACAATGACCTAGTGAATTTCTATATCAGAATATCCTTTTTTCTTTTTTCACACTGATTCACTAAACTTTCATGGTCAGATTAATGCTTTTATTTGGCTGCAATTAACTGTGGTTTTTTTACCTCTGAACACTAAGTAATTATATATTCATAAGTACCAAAGCGAGCTGACATTAGTGGTGAAAACACTGGAGTTTGTTTCATGACAGGAGGGAGAACTGAAGGCAAGTGCTGTCCTTGCAATTTCAGCTTGATGAGTTTCATAGCTATAGAGAACTCCAGTTGATCCATTTTTCCATCCTTGTTCAGGTCTGAGAGTGTCCTTAAAAAAAAAAAAAAATTAGAAAAGAAACAGAAATTTAACATTTTTGATCTGTGAGAGGCTTTCCTACTCGATTTATTTACTGGTTTTGCACAGGAAAACAAAACTTATTGCAAAGTAAATTTTCTACTTTTGATAACATTCTTACCTTTGAGAAATTTGAGTACCCACTTCTGCAGAGTTCAGTTTTGAGGCTGCTATATGTTAAACACATAATTCCCAAGAAAGCAGGGAAGATTTTGGGAAAGCAGAAGTCTCCTGCCCACTTGTTGCCTCTGCTGCAATCCTCTGCTGTGCTTTTCTTTATGCTCCCAGCCAGAATAATTATTTTTAAATTAATCCTTGGTAAGGTAAGGAATTAATGCAAGAATCTGGAACAAGATGCAGGAGGATGCAAAAACCTCCTAAAGGCACCATACACTGCTAAGAAAACTTCATTAATTCAGAGTGGTGAATTAACCTCCCAGTGGTGAGCATGGGTATCAAGTTTTCTGAGCCTGATACACACACTGTCTTCCTTTTGACAGTTCTCCAAATAACTACAAAAGGAAATACATGCAACAGTGCATACATAACCTCAACATTTCTGGTCAGTCAGATAAGAAATTTTATTAACATTTAAGCGTGCAAGGACCAAGCACAAGAACGTAAATAAAATTAGGAGGGAAAAAAAACCAACAGACTAATGTTAAGCTTCGTTTTTCCTTTGATTCTTTTACTGCTCAGTACAAAACCTCAAGACTCCACAGAAAAATCCCCTTGACCCTCTTTTCCAGACACTGATGTTTAATGGTGAACATGGTGGTGATGCTGGTTGGACTTGAAGATCCTGGAACACTCTTCTGACCTTAACAATTCTGTGATACTATGTGACTGAAGGAAAAACTAACTTGCATTTAATTATTTCCCTTAACGTTTTTTTCTTAAAGTTGTTCTTAATTATTACGAGACTCAAGTATGTGTCTTTTAGCACACATACCCCAAACTGAGCATAGGATTCTAGTGAGGACTGAGGGGTTACAGAGAAAAAACATTTCAAGTGTTGCACTCACCACATATATGCTGCAAGGAACAGCACTTTTTCCAGTTCCTGTATTACAGCATTGCTTGGTATCTCACATATCAAAACTGTCCTTCTGCTTTTTTTGTGACTTTAGAATTTTTGTTGTCTTCTACTTTATGTGTACTTCAAGCCCTTAATATAGTTTAAAAACGCTGCATTCAGCATGATTCAATTTGAAATAACATCATAAGAAAGATGTAAAAATTACTGAGTTTTAATTAATTGTTGGTACACATATGGGCTGAAAACTTCCTCTATATTTAATAAAATTAAAACAATTATTCAGACAACACTTTCTACCTTGACTGCTGAAAGCCTTTGTGAAACACAACGCAGCAAAGGTAGCATTAGAGTACTATGAATCTCCTACCTAAGAAAAAAAAACAATAAAGAATACCTTACCATATTTGAGCAAGGATTGAAGATGGCAGGCCTGATTGCAAAAAAAAGGTACGGGCTTGATCACCTGTGATAAACAAAGAAAAAAACCACAGACTTTTATACCAGAGACAGATTTTTGAAGCGCTCAGCACACTCTGGGGGGATTGGGTTTTTGAAAGAAACTCCTATGCTCATGCCAAGCTTTCCAGGGCTTTTTTCCCAGCTTTTAACACTGGTGACAGTGATTGTCAGACACCCGTGTATTCCATAATTCCTAATCTTTGCTTTGAGAAGTGATTTCAGATAGCTATAAAAATTTTAACAGGCCACAAATCAATGGCTGCCAACATCTTAAAAAATGCATGGATTAAAAAATGAATGAAAATTTAGTCCTGCCCCAATTACTTATGCAGGAAAGGATGAGAATGCTGTTTCTTTTCTTCTCTATCCCATCTAACTTGAGCAAGTATTGTGTCTCTAAAAAAAACAGGAAAACACCATGTTCTAAATAATATTCTTTTCTGTCAGAGAACACCCATGATTTCAGTACTTCAGGAATGGAAAGGGAACTGTTGTGCAATCCCATACCCAGTTCCATATCAACTGATACCCATACAAAACAGGGACAGTGGTGTATATGCCTACATCTGAGTGAATTACAGATGCTTAAAGCTAAGACTTCAAATTACTCTTTCAACTCTCTCTTATATTCATACACAAGCTTTTATTTCAAGCATTTGCCAAATAAATAACAAAGCCTGCAGATGCAGGTAAGAGCCCAGATGTGACCTGAAGGTAGTTCCTGGGGATGCACAGTTTCCACCTGGAGGTGAACACCAACCTCCCAGTGCTGCTTGGCCAAAGCAGGAGTTAGGTGCCACTTAGCCAGAAGATGTGCATGTCCCAAACAGGTAACTTTCCCCTCTCTCCTCAGTCCTTTCCAGCTCCAAAAGAGGAGAAGCAGGGCCAGTGGAGCAACTAGACAGGGCATTACTGGATTTCTGGGAAGGTAGGAGTCTTTAGTGCCCAGCCACCCACCAAGAATGGGGCATTCCTAAATTAAGACATCTTTGCCAATGAAATAGGGGCTTTTTTCATATTAAAAGCAGATTTAGATTTAAAACCTCCAAATTCTGAGGTCCACAGCAGCATGACCCAATTGTTTCAGAGGAGACACAGCTGAATGCAACTGGAACTGACAGCTGGCCCCTGCAAAATGCCATTAGTCCACCCAGTCCCTACTGAGGGCCCAATGGCCCAAATTTCAAGCAGCTGCTAACAAGGACAGGCTGTCAGCATCCCTCTCCCTGCCTCCTCATCCTAAACAAAGATATCTAACAGCACAGCATTCCCTCCTCAGACTGAGGATATACACTTCTGCTGTGTCTAGTGTCACCTGCCAGAACAGCTATTGGAAGTGCTCCCTGGCAGCCCCTCATCTGAGCACAGATTTCATCTGATATTCTCTGGTTTCTGAAACTAGACAGAATGGCAGCACACAGCTGGTGGCTGCAGAAGTGACAGGGTTAAACAAAACAGCATTCTTGTGCCAGACTTGAGAGGAAAGCTTGTTAAGTTTACTAATAACCTGTGGCTGTTTGCCTGAAGAATATGGTTATTAGTCACAAAACAAAGGGCTAGAAATAGGATGCAGTTCTCAAACTGTTCTGCAGAGATAGGTATGTGTACACAGAAGTTAATGTGTAATGCAGAGCCTCAGACCAACCTGTAATGAAACCTCCTGTGGGTTTAAGGCTATCAAACTGCTTGTCATGCTTGGCCCGCTCTTCGGAGGTGATGGCCCATATGTTTGGCCCTCCTGGAAAATAACCCCAAAACAAATCAACAAAAAAAACAATGAACAACCAAACGGACTGAAAACTTTCACAAGTAAAGCACGTCACTTGCAAAATAAAAGCTTGGCTTTCTCAAGAGACGACGTTAGACATGGACACACCCAGCTCCTACCAGCTTGGCAAGGACGTTATGCAACACAAACCTGCTTCCCAGATGTGCAGCCGAGCTGAGACAATGCCCCAGCCAGGCTGCTTCACCCTGGCTTTCAAACAAGCTCTGTCGTCCTTCAAAGCTGGTGCAGAGCAGTTTCCTGTCACTGCTGACTGCAGCCCGGGCAGGATGTGCCTCACCATCCCCTGTGTGAGCCAAACACTCCCCTGGCTCTCCGATGAACAAATGGCATTCAGTGTCACCCAGGTTCCCATGCACAGGGTTAACACCCTCCAGGTGCCAAAAAGGCTTACACTTGTCTTGCCAGCACTCTAACAGCAAAATCGGGACTGATAACAAAAATAATTTGGTTTTGTCTGACAAAGAAGTGAAATTTTGGACTTTTTTGGGTTTTTTTTGATTTTTTGTTTCTTTTTTTTTTAACAGCATGCAATGTCCACTTCACATTTTTCCATATTTCATGAAGAATACAATATTACAGCCTAAGAGCAGGAATGAGAAGTTACAGGGAATAACTCTGTTTACAGTGCTGGTAATACCAGGCAGAACCAGACAGACTTTCAGAAATGCTGCAACCTGCTGCATAAAGGTCAGGGTGTGCATCCTTTGCAGGAAAAGCAGCTTGCCAGAAATAATTTGGTTTGTTTTTTAAGTAAAAGGAAGTTTTAGTCAGGAAGTTCTTGACAAATATTTAATTTTTCAAATCAATGAATGCAAGAATTAGCCAAAATTCTGAATGGAACCACTCAAAACAGCATTAAAAGGTTATTACATGAAAAACACTTCTAAAATTACATTCTGCTGAGTATTACTACTTCTAAAGAACTGTTAATCTGTTCAAGTGCTTGCAATGCTCCCTAAAAGACAGTCAAGGGAATAAATACTTCTTCTAATATGATATTAACAACTTGCTTTAAAAGCCAGAGTACTTGGGAAAAAAAAGTTAGCATTAAAGGTTTCTTCTTCCTACATAAACCTTATTTCAAAGCTTTGAATCTCCTAATTTTCAAGAGGTTTTTGCACTGTTTTTCTATGTATAAGAGCAAAGTGAAGGGACTGTGAGCTGATATACTTGCCAATGCAGACAGTAATGATGTTAATCATCTCTCATCATTGTTTATTTACATAAACAAATACATTTTCCCAAACAGACTTAATTTTTCCTCTTAAGAAGGTCCTGTTAAAACTCTATTTCTCCTTGCATGTGTACAGATTTAATTCTTTACCCTTGCTCCCTCAGTAGAGCAATAAAATAGTTTAAAAGACCAAAACAAAGCAGAAACTCACTGGGGAGATGTATGACAGAAAAGATATGAGGGCATTAGGATACAACCTCTACACACCTGAATTTGGAGTTTTGCTTCTCACTTGAGGATATACCCTTTTTTTTTAGTGTGGCCTCAATAAAATAGTGTTTTTGCTGGTTATATGTGAAATTGCACTTCAAGAACACCCCTCTTTTTTCTTCTTATTAAATGAGCATAAATAAATCTAGATTAGATACTGATAATAAAGTGAAGTAAATCTGAATCAGATGCCTAGAAGTCAACGGGCACTGTAAAGTTTTACTGCAAGACATTAATGAGGACAACTTACACCCTAAGGCAAAAATTAGAGCAGCACTTAGATTTCTTTAAAGTGCTAATTTTAAGCTAGAAAGGGGAAGTGCATAAGATGTGGTTATGATTATAGAAATTATCTCAACCAGATGAAAAAATGCACCTAAAGCTGCCAGCAGCAACTTCAGAGAAATTGACTACTTTTTTCATTTTTGGAAAACAAATATTATCAGCATTAAATTTTCCTTCCATTAAATGCTCCTCTTTGAACATCATTTGAAGCAGGTAGCTGCAACATTCCTTGGCTTTTTAAAATCAACAACAGAATGATTAAGACCATAATATATTCAGATGGCCAGTGGCTACAAAGTGATAAAAACACAGTAACAATTTCTTGACTGGAGTTATGACCATCACCATAACCCTCTAGAAAATCCAATTTACACTGTAAGGCAACTTTTATTATATAATGCACAGCTTCTTACTTATCTGTCACAAATTAAGCAAGAAGATGGCAATCAATCTTGAAAATCTCATATTTTTGTATTCAAAGAGTTGTTTTACTATCTGGTAAATTACATTTCCTCTCCAGCTATGAAATTCAGCATTCTACACAGCATTTTCTCAAATGTGCTAACAACTTGCATGTCAGTAAATCTCCAAATTTACAGCTGTAGCTGAGTATTAAAATCTCATTCAACACGTGATTAAAGATCCACATTCACCCTTCTTTAGAACAACATTGCTATTTTTTACACACTTGATATTTTGCACACTTTCACCTCTGGACCTACATCTTTAATGTCCTTTCTGTTCCATGCCTGTGACTCTATGATTTAGTCCAACACCCCTGCAAGGAGCAGGAATGTCTTGAACTATCTCAGGCTGCTCAGAGCCTCATCCAGCCTGGTCTGGGACACTTCCAGGGATGGGGCAGCCACTGCTTCTCTGGGCAGCCAGGGCCCCACCACCCTTGCAGAAAAATGCTACCTTACATCTATTTGAAATCTACAATTTTTAAATTTAAAACCATCACCCCTTGTCCTATCTCAACAGGTCCTGCTAGAGTAAAGAGGCCCCCTTTAAGTACTAAAAAGCCACAGAAAGGTCTCTCTGGAGCCTTCTCCAGGCTGAACAACCCCAAGTTTCTTGCAAGTATAAATTTAATTTTAAAAAAGACATCTTTGCCTAAAACCATGTTATTATATCAACAAGTGCTTCTACAGCCTTCCACAGTCCTAGTGAGTCAGTGCAAGCAGCTGTCATGGAATAGTGATAACTACAAACATTATCAAAAGCACACTGTGGGAATGTTTCAGGGAACTGAAAATACCAACCTGCTATTAATTTATTTTCAACAGTAAAAAAAATTTCACAGTCTCCCTTTCCCTAGGGACAGAGACTGAGAGTCTTCCTTTCTTGGTGATTAATCCCATAAAGGTATGCTCTGATGGTTTCTTTATAGGCATGGAAGAAAATGTAGTAAGTCTTAAATTCCAATGTATAAAGACATAGATTTTTAAAAATACAAATATTCATAGCGGGAATTGGGATCTAGAGAACAGCACACTTGAAAGTCAGCACACCCCTCCCAGTGAAATTTGTTCAGTTATAGACAAGCACTAAAAGGCCCAGAAAATTAAGTTTTATCCTAACATCACTTGAGAGAGTGTCTGCCATCTGCAGCCTGAACTAGAACAGGTCATTGTTTTCTGAATAGAGGTTAATAATTGTTGGACAATGAAAGTATTTGTCTAAAATTAAAAAGAAAATTTAAAACCCACTGCTTCTGGTAGGGATCCACACTGAATGCAGTCAAATCCCACCCACACTTATTATTTAAAGGATTCACTGTTGTTTTTCAACTCCCCCCCCCATATGCCAAAGAAACAAGATAAAGAGCACAGCACAAGAGGGAAGGCTAAAGCACTGCCAATGATTGTATTTAGCTGAAGCAGGTGCTCACAGCTCTTTTGATGGTCCCCTTGGTGACACGATTAAGAAAAGTAAAATCTGAGTACAGAAAAGCTCATATGAAGATTTCTCAAAATAACATGTGAAAATACCATACTAGTCCATCTGAAATAAACACTTTCAACAACAGGACTCACAAGGCCTTGGCAATTCCACAAAGCACATCACAGAACCATTCTCCAAAGTAATTGTTGTGTTTACCTATACAGTACAACCAAGACCATCACAAAACCTTAGCCAAAATTAATGTGAAATTCAGTTCTCCTGTGCCATCACCATCAAATCATGCTACAAAAATCATGCTAAAATCCTCACAAATATTGTGATTGCTTCCCAAAATTACCAGAAGTGGTAAAAATGGACACTCAGTGCAACTGCTAGAAAAGTTACACAGCCTGGTTTACACACAGCCACGTCCTGGGCATGCTGAGCTGTGATGAAGGGAAGATGCTCCTTTCCTGGGAAAGGCAGAACTGCAGGAGGAGTCAAACATCTGCCACCCAAGATGTATCATCTAAACTGATCTGGCTGAGCTCAGACATTTTTTGCACTAACACACCTCCAGTTCTAGGGTTGAGAAATATCTTGCTTGTAAACCAGATTCAATGAATTCTGCATAGAGAAATTCCTGTTCTACTTCCATCCACATGGCCCCAAGTCCTCACTCATGGCAAGTCATAAATCACAAACCAAACTGCAGGTGTCTGCTCCTCACAGCCCGCTCTGACTACAGGATGGGCAAGAGGCAGGAATCTCCTTGATGGAGCAGCACTGAAACTTTGGCTGCCCAAGCAGCAGTGAACTACAATGTGTAAAATCAGATTTTACAGATCAGTTCCCCACCAGAAATCAAAATAAAGTTGCTACTACATGCTCCCATGAGAAGCTTTGCTGCTGACAAGGAATAGTACATTACTTTTCTGACTCAGCTTAAATTTCCTGGACATTTTTGACATCTAAGTCATTTTTCCCAACTGTAGCTGATAAAATTTTGGAGGGGAGAAACAGTACAATCTCTCTGACAAGAAGGTATCTCATTAACTCATTATTCTTCAAAACAGGTCACTTTAGAATCTTACAACTTAATTCATGAAGCCAATACTGTATTTGACTACCCTGCATTTTTAGGGATCAAAACTCAAGAAATGCTGAACTTGAGATATTTTCCCCACAAAGACTTTACCTAGAACAGAGTAACTACTGTCTTCACCTGCTCTGTCTGCTTATGAAAAATCACAAGTCTATCTTAGTAAAACTTCTGGAAGCCAGAGGCAAAACTTTCTTTCTTTCCTAGAGAAGGCTGGTACTTTCAGAGAAG